TTTACATCCAGGATTTTAAAAAAATCCTGTTTTTATTTTATTTTTAATGTTTTAGTTTAATAATTTTTTTTTAGTTTTACATTTAGTTATTTTAGTGCATTACCTAATTAATTCTATCTTTTTTTTTAGTTTATGTCTTGCAACTCTGAGAAGAATAGTCAGAATTTTGTGAAATATAAAAAATAAAGTATAAATATAAAAATATATGAATTATAAAAAAGGACAGAATTCTGAAAAAAAGGTCGCAATTACCTTATCTTTTATTCCATGGTAAAAAAAAAAAAAAAACCGGAAAAACAAAATGTAAATGTAAAATTTTGAGAAAAAAAAAAGTCAATTCTGAAAAAAAGGTCGCAATTACCTTATCTTTTATTCCATGGTAAAAAAAAAAAAAAAACGGAATAACAAAATGTAAATGTAAAATTCTGAGAAAATAAAAAGTCAGAAGTGAGAGATGCAAACTCGGAATTTCGAGAAGAAAAAAAAATCTGAATTTTGAGATATATATTCAGAAAAGCAAAAGGTGTTTGAACAGCATGATATATAATGGCAGAATTTTCATTTTTGGGTGAACTATTCCTTTAAGTCTCATTCCTGCAGTCGTGGCCTCTGCTGAATAACAATACAAACAATTATTCTAGTACGATTATTCTAGTTTGTGTTTGCTTGCTTTTTGTTTGTTTGACATGATTTAGGGGGTAATTAAATGTTAAGAAATTGCTTTGACGCTGTTAATTGAAAACCTATTGCATGTTAATTCAGAAAGAACTCTCCAGCAGATATACTTCTGTTTGTTGTCTCAATATAACAATTAACTTATTAAGCATCAGGATGAACAAACAAATAAGAAGCCGAGGGAACACTGTTTACATCCCCGTCTCTACAGATGTAAACACACTGCTGACAGCTGAAGAAAGAGAAACATTAGGCCGAGCAACAGCTCAAACCACAAAGAATGCCTGCCGGGAAACTACTGCAGATAAGCGTTGTGTGTGTAATGTGATTGAGCTAAAACAGACACAATGCACTGTAAATGTTTCTGTAAGTACTGTCAGTGCAACTGATCCACCATTAACAGCACAATATACACAAATACTCATGTTCGGCTGTGTATCTGCCTGTTTTTATATATACATTTTTTTTTAAATATTAACTTTTTATTTTTATTTTTGATGCTGGATGTGAAGCAAAAGTTCAGATTCTGTGTTATTTTGTATTATTTATATACCACTTTATTATTTATGAATATTTTGAATTAGCTTTTATTTTTGTTTTCTGTTTCGATTTTAATTTTGCATTATGTTTTAGTAATTGTTTGTGCTTTTGTCATTTTATTATTATTTTTTTTATATTTATATATATATATATATATACATACATAAATATATGCCCATCCAAGATGTAGATTAGTTTGAAGAGCCCGGTCTCATGAAAATGCGTATAAATAGTACGCCAAATAAAAATGAAAACTCGTGGTATTTATACGCAAAAATGGACTTTGGTGTGCATATGATATGCATGTGTTTGACGTGCATATAATACGCAGTTTTCACATCCATATGATACTTGTTGGCGTGCATATGATACGCAGTTTTTGCGTACATATGATACGCATCTACCCCACAACCTTAAACCTACCCATCGCGTAGCATATACACGCCAAAGTCCATTTTTGCGTATCAATACCACGAGTTTTCGATTTTATTTGGCGTACTATTTATGCGCACTTTCATGAAATCGGGTTGGTTTGAAATAGATTTGGAGAAATTTAGCATTGCATTACTTGCTCACCAATGAAAGTGAATGGGTGCCATCAGAGTCAAAAGCCACAGTAATAAATGTCACACTTTATTTTAAGGGTCCATTAACCATCAGCCATGACTTTTCCCTCAATAAACTCCTAATTTGCTGATTATAATTAGTTATTAAGGTAGTTGTTAAGTTTAGGTATTGGGTAGGATTAGGGATGTAGAATATGGTCATGCAGAATATGTGCTTTAATAAACAGCCAATATGTTAATAATTGGAATGCAACTAGTTAATAGTAAGAATTGGTCCCTATACTAAAGTGTTACCATAATGTTTGGACTCTCTTTCAGAGGATCCATCTGTGAGCAAGTGATGTAATGCTACATTTCTCCAAAACTCCTCGTTTTGAAAATAGTAAATTTTCAGCAAATTTCGGGTGAACTATTCCTTTAACTACCACATCAGAAAAGATCTGTGACCCATTTTTGTGTCGCAACCCACCACTTGAGAATCTCTGGTGTACATACTGCAGCTTATGAATCTATAATGCTAGAGCAGCACAGATGTAGACATTTACAAAGCCTCTGCCAGGCTCCACCTCTTCTGGAAGTATCTATAATTTTCAGCCTGCTTAGCATGATCCACAAAGTCCTATCCATTGATATATGGATCTATATCTGGATACGTGCGTGGGCATAAGAAACATTAAAGAGGGCACATCTGCAAAGATCTAATACTTACATGAAGACTGGAAAAAACACTTGAAGTCGCCAACATGCTTCAGCTACACTGCTAACCTTAGTGCTGTTTGAGGGAAGTACTGTATAGTCCAAAACATGCAGAAAATTAGGACAGGTGTAATTTGGTTAACTCAAATTTGAATTGTAAAATATTAGGGTTGTGGCATTAAGAATCCAAGGACATAAAAATCATAAAGATGCATTTTCATGTCCTGCTATACAAACAAACTCCACAATGTCATTCTTTTTTTTTGCTCATCATCATCAGAGAATCACATTTGATCACCATAAAGTTCATGTAGATCTAAAGATGTAGGGGAAGAGACCAGGGCTATCTCATATCTCTAACCTGAATCAAACTGCACAAATGCTTGTTTTGCCTAACAATGGTTTTGACACACCTTGTTGAAGGTACATTCACATTTACATTAGCACACACTTCTGTCCAAAGCAACTTACAATACAGGGGCATAAGCAATTCATCACAGAGCCAGTATATCTTCAGCATATAATGACAAGTTTATTAAAAAAGCAATATTAGGAGAAATGCAAAGATAAAATAAGAGTTTTTATGTTTTGTTTGCAAGTGCATTGGTTTAGGGTTGTGGTACATTTTAACCAAAAGTTTGAACTGTTTCTCTACTACAAGGCTATTCTCTTAGGCCATTCTAAGGCCAATCTATAATATGCTTTTTAATGGTAGGCTGTCCTTGTTACAACATGCACTGTTATCAGTCAAGACATGAAAGAACTGTATCTTTCTATGTGTCCATGCAAATATTCATTAGAAAACAATTTATGAACTACACTAATAAACAGCTAAATAGGTAACCGAGATACTAAACCTTACTACAAGACTTCAACAATAACTTAAGGAAACGATTTCATAATTATAATTGCACAAAATCTAAGACAAAAATGAATATATGCTTTTGTTGATATATGGGTCAATGGCAAATAGGTATGATAAAAAAAATTAAATCTTCAGAAAATTGTTTTCAAATAATAATTATATGCGAAAATGGTCACAACTTGCCTAAATATGCCACGAAGTTGTTGTTTTTTTAACAAATACAATATTAATATGTTATTGTATTCATTGTGACTTTTAGTAAATAATAATAATAATAATAATAACAGGGCAAACTACTTTGTTCTGAAATTCTAAATAGATTTTAAATTCAAAAATCGGATATTTGTTCACCTTAAAATTCAAGTGTATTCAATTCATTGCAGGAATTGCATTCTGAATATATTTCAGACTAACTTGACAGATCTGTTGGTGTCTATTGACCCATATAGCTTCATTTCAACAGTGTCTGTCATTAAGCTTTCATTCTATTTATAAACCAATAACAGGGTTGCGTTATAAAATTCAAGTGTATTCAATTCATTGCAGGAATTGCATTCTGAATATATTTCAGACTAACTTGACAGATCTGTTGGTGTCTATTGACCCATATATCTTCATTTCAACAGTGTCTGTCATTAAGCTTTCATTCTATTTATAAACCAATAACAGGGTTGCGTTGATAACTTTATGCATGTTCAGGATGACTAGCTCAAATAACCTACTTCAGCATCTTTCGGGCATTAACCCTTTCAGAACAGGTGCGCACCAAACGCTCTGCCCTTTGTTACAGGTTTCTCGATACTCTGAATCGGAATGTCGTTTCACCATTTCGTTTTGCATAAATGACAATCTCAAGAACGTTTCTGCACACACAGAGGCTCAACATCCCCTTAGATGCACTGTCTCCAACCCGTAAAATGTGTCTGCAAACGCTTCACCTCCCTATAGTAGCTACTCCACGCGAATCTTCCCATCCACCTGAATGACCGTCCACACATTTTACGCATTCTAATTGAGTGTTTTGTCGGCTTTGTTGATTTGCACACACCCCTGCCCTGCCTTCATCATATCCACGGGGAGACTCTTTTTTTTTGCCATAGGCTCTGGAGGAAGGAGCGCCTCCACGCACTAGTATCCATGCTAACCAAGATGATCTGCGCTATTCCTCATTGTGCCATCATGAACATGTGTGGTGCTGCTAGAGATCTGCACCCGGACAGTGTCGCGCTCGCCTACCTGTGTGTTTGGAGAGTTGTCCAAGCAAAACGAGAGTGAAGACGATCGGTCAGAGAGCGCAGCGGCCGTGCTGGTCCATAGTGAAGCGCTCCAGCTGCTCTATCTCTCCCTTTCTGTCTCTCTCTCTCATCCGAGAGTGATGCTCGCATCAGCCACTAGATGCTGCTGAGGGTGCGCGCGTCATGGCTGCTGTACAGCAGGGCTTTTCAATGCCACGGACCCTCAAATATAAAAATACATTAATATTATAAATATGTGTAAATATTATTTGGAAAATATTTAGTTTCTGTTATTTACATTAGCTAGGCCTACATTCATTTTTCTACATAGTATAGGACTATTTGTTTATTTATTTATTCATTCATGTTATCAATTGTATTAATCTTATTTATTATTTTAATGTGTATAAGCCTACGTATTTATTTAATGTGTATTACTCATTTTTTATTTATTTGAATCTATTTTGAGTAGCCTGTTTTTATTCATTGTTTATCTAGTTTTATTTAATATTTTCAAATTAAAATACTCAAACTTCAGTTTATACTAAATTCATTGACTAGAAAGGTCGGTATCTGAGAAAACGTTAAATTCCCTTTACAAAATAAAAAACGGAATTATTTTCATGATTCGGTTCTGTTGATTCGGTTCTCGAACGTGCATTGCTCCGCTGATGTGGACAGAAAACGCGGTACACGACTGAAGTGTGACCCATGTGCAGTACGATTCCTGAACGCATGGCTCCTATGAGTCGGTTCTTTTTTTTAGTGACTCCAAAGCATGCAGTCCCACTGGTGTAGTGCGATTTATAAGCCGGTTCTTTTTAGCGAATCAAAGCAAAGTGCTTTCGATGCAAGTGCAACCAGTGTAGTCCAATTCCCAAAAACGAATTCCCAAACGACAACTCTTATGAACTGGCCCATTTTTGGTGATTCAAAAAAAGCACGATCGTTGTTGTCTGATTTCCTACCGAATGAATCTTGTTAAAATTGTTTATTTTAGTGAATGAAAAAAATACAGCGTGACTGGTGTGGCCTAGTGTGATTCAGAAATGCTAAACCTTATAATGCGGTTCTTTTTAGTGAATCAATAACTTACAATGAAATTTCTGATTGCCAGACTCCTATGATTCGGTTCTCATCAGCGAATTAGCCTACCAAAATAATTAATATATCGAAGCAAGTTTTTTTTTTTGGAGTGTAAAAAAACATCCTCACTGCAGAACACAAGATCCATGGGGCGTGGTTGGATCCAGATCCAACTCCTCCCACCTTACATATACCTACACCAGGGCTAGGCAAGTTTGGTCCTAGAGAGTCGCAGTCCTGCAGAGTTCAGCTCCACTCCTCAAACACACCTGAGCAAGCTAATCAATGTCTTCAGGATTACTAAGGCTATAGGCAGGTGAGTTTTGTTTTCAGGGTTGGAGCTGAACTCTGCAGGACTGCGGCTCTCTAGGACCGAACTTGCCTATACCCCTGACCTAAACCTACCTGTCTCCACCCACTAGATGTGGATCCAACCATGCCCCCTGGATCTTGTGTTCTGCAGTGAGGGGCTACTGAGGCTTTGCCTCACTTACTGAACCGTGGGTTATTGCTTTTTGTAATGTCCAACTCAAAATGAACAATGAATAGTTCCTGGTGTTTAATAGGACTTGACATGAATGAATAAACAGCAAGTAGATTAATAGCTAGTTGAATTAAGTTCATTTGGGCCCAGTATTGGCTTTCATGCTTACCTGCATATAAAAAGTAATATCCTTTTGCTCAATTTAACGTTTGCCCAAATGTACATACACGCTTGTTTAAAAATCAGAAATTGTTACCTGTCAGATTGGATTACTGCTTCCTGCCAGACATATAACACTCATTGCCATTCAGTGCCTTGCAGCAAAATTAAACCAGCACACTTCAGACGGCCTGAAATGAATGCAGTGTTGGACTGATGAATTCATGACTTGGACTGTTTCCAAACACACACATTGCTTATTTTCTTATTCCTAATCGCTTGTTTTGTTGTCATTGATTTCTCTCATCCTGTCACTGAGAGATGAGCTCCAAGGCAGAATGCTCTTCTCATGCTGTAACACAACAGCTGGCTTATGAAATAACTGAGAAGAGCTAAATTAAACACATGGAAATGGAGTGTTTTCCTTGGATAAACCTGATGCAGTGGGTTTTGCCGATAAGGAACAGTCTTGTTTTTAGAGCGAAGGTGCTTATTTATTTAAGTTTTATATCATACATAAGTCATGAGAGGTTACTCGTGTGTCTTGTGAAAATATTTTATATAAAGACCCTGACCCTGATTTATTTTAGGAAGCTGATTCTGTTCTAGGCCCACTGTTGTTGTTTTGTGATGGCTAATTTCACTTAAACCAACAAACCTTTCACACTTTTAACCCTAAATTAAGGTAACCATTTTTCTTGATGCCCAAACACAAACTGTAAAAATTCATGTGTTTTTGCGTATTGGCTGAGTTGTGTAAATTACCATAAAATAATAATTACTAAGTTAGTATGTGAAAGCTGCACAGATACAAAAATATTTTCAGTACAGTAAGATTTAGTACACTTTCAGATTTTACTGCCTCCTTGTGGCTAAAAAAAGTGATTCAAGTATTTGAATTTATTTGATTGCAGTATGTGAAAGACTTTATACCATGTTTTCACAATGTGATGACAGAGAATGATAAATGCAGAGCAGCATTAAGTATCACTATAACTATTGATTGTCCTTTGGGTTAGAGATGTGAACAAACCCCTAAAACCAATCACTTTACCAGTGACTAATTTATGCAACTTCAAGTCAATATGCAAACACAATACTTTGCCTAAAGACACGAATGATAGGAGAGGTGTGCTATTTTGCTAGGCACTCATTTCTTCTTCGGAAAATTAAAAAACTTTGATGACATTCGCTCTCTGAAGATAAACGTCCTGTGTCAGCAAAATCTCTAAAATATTCATGAGCTTTTAAAGGAAGAGCAAATTGTGTTAGATGGGGAACTGTAATTTTCTTTCCCATCAGTGCAGGGAATATTTCTAGATCTCAGCTGCAAGGCCCTGCCTGATACAACCGATACAGTATATAAAAAAGGAATATTTTAACATTATTATGTAGTTCTTAACAATAATCCATCTAAGAAGTGGAATGAACATAAATCAGTTTTATGTTTTTACCAAGAGCCTTACCTAGTACACAGTAATCAAACAAAAAAATCTTTGTCACAATGAGCTAGAGAGATTAAACATACTGAAAATATGCTCAGTAATGTTTCCTCTCTAAGAAATCGAAGCCATAGTCTTAAATACTGTCACTGTTTTTTATACTTCTGATGTCTAATGTGTTAATACCATTCAATTTAAACTGATATCTATTTAATCTCAAAGTTGTTGGTTAAACATCATTCTTTACTCAATAAACTCCAATAATTATAATCAAGGTACAACTCAGATTTTTTTTTAAAGTGCCCCGATTATGGGCAATGAAAGGCTCATATTTTGGTTTTGGGAGTCCCCAACAACAGGTTGACATGCATGCGACGTCAAAAAACACTTTCATTGTCTTATAATATGCATTTATTTTTACCTTACTTGCTCAACGACTTCCAGACGATTCGCTTAACTATTCATTTTTCCAAACCCCTCTTTTGTGTGATGCTAATCTGTGGTGATTGGTCCGATTTGTCTCATTTTAATTTCATCATGCCTGTGATGCCTGATAAAGCGGCGTTTGTGAGCGCAGTGCTGCTTTGTGTACAGCGTTAGGCTATGTTCACGCTTGGCGTCTTTTCTGAAGCTGCCAGCGTCTGTTTTACATTATAATCCTATGGAGTAAACAGTGTTTTCAAAACGCCACCGCCGGCGTCTTTTTCTGCAGCTCAGAGCATCTTTTCAAGTTGAAAAAAGTTGAACTTTTATGGAAAAAAAAAACGCCCTACATCAAGCGCCTTTTTGACAGCTGACCAATGACAAGCAATTGAGTAGCAAGACCTGTCGTTTCCATAACAACAAGAACAAGAAATAATGGAGAAGGTGCCAGTAGATAAACTATGAGCACAAAATATTTAGTATAATAATAATGTTTTAATGTTTATTCTAAAATATGCCGCAAACCGTGCATCATCCAACCGGAGCGCCTGGACTAAATTGTTGTAAGCACCATACTGGTTCCTTCCCCGTTTAATGTCTTGCACCCACAAACGTCGTCGTAAACCGACAGTCTCTTCCCCGTTACCTTTAAAAGCCAACGCAAGAGCCAGTTTCCTCTTTCTCAACATTTTTGCACCACGCAGCGCAAGGCTACTGTTGCAGCAGTTGCTATAGCAACAAAAGACGCCCTCGGCTGCTATTTGTAACAGAAACGCTGCCAGCTTTTTTTTTCACTAAAAAACGCCCATGTCAACTTTTTCTTGTCAAAACAGACGCCAAGTGTGAACATAGCCTTACCAGGGAAACCGCTATTTTTACCGCTCCAAAAGCGGCACCTAGTGGCAAAGAATGAATTTGCATTTTCATTCAGACCAACTTGAAAAGACCAACAAGTGGGCGGGCAATATGCTAATGTTTCATGTTGACATCAACATGAAACGGCTTGGGATTCATTTTAAAAACGACTCGTTTCAATGATTCAGAGTCGACTCTTTCTTTTGAGAGACAATAACTTTATACACGGTGCACTTTCAGATTTAAAACTTTGCAGGATGTTTTCATTCACTTAAAGCTGTTACACACACTGCATGAAAGGTAATTTTCAGAAATCCATAGGAGCACTTTAAAACATTTTCTGACAGATAAATGAATCACAACCGTATGGTGAAAAGGTGAAAACAAAACGTTCCATTTTATTTTAAGTATTAAACCAAAATATAGAATTAAGGTGTGCATGTTTTTTATGGAAGCCAATTTCTGTCTCAAGAGTGTAAAAAAAAAAAGTAATCATGACATTATATCTCACATTTGTGACTAATACTCATGTTTGCATCTTTATCTCACAACTGCAGCTTTATAACTCTTAATTGTGACATTGTTTTTTCCTCACAGTCAAGACAATCTTATTTTACATGTTCACATTTACTTTTTTATTTTCTACTCTGAGGT